CGGGGGAGTCCCCCGCCCCTCCCCTCGCCCTGTCCTGCCCCGGATCGGGACCGCAGGAAGGTGCGGGGCTGCCATGCTCAGCTAGGGTCCCAGGCTGGGGGTCCCTTGCCGGCCTGCAGCTGCAGGGGGAGCTCCAGAGAGCAGAGAGCCTTGGCACCTGGTCTGCACCCTGTCTGCACAGAGCCTTGTGCCCCCCGGCTCACCCTAGGTCAGGCCCTCGAACCTTTTCAGGGTTCTGGCCCCTCTGGTCAGCTGGGGAAGCCTGTGGACCCCGCAGGGGAATGGTTTTATTTTATTTATGTCCCCCTCCCCCTTGTTTTCAATACGTAAGCTACAACATGCAGGCTAGCAGAAACCCACTGCCTCAGCGGGCGGGGGCTGCCCTACACAGTGCGCCGCCGCGCTCACCACACCGGGACCGGCTCCGTCCCGGGCCTGTCTCCTGATAGAGCCCTGGGGACCGGCTCCGTCCCGGGCCTGTCTCCTGATAGAGCCCTGGCCTGTGCAGCAAAGCTCCAGTCTCCACGTGCGTTCCCGTGCGCATGTCTGCGTCCACATTTCCCCCCTAAGGACACCGGTCAGGTTGGGTTAGGGGCCCAGCCTGCTCTGCTATGACCTCATCGTAACTGATTACATCGGCAAAGGGCCTGTTTCCCAAAAGGCCACACTGAGGCACTGGGGGATGGGCAGGACTTCAACATAGGAGTCGGGGACAGAGTCCCTGTACACCCATCGAATATTTTAGAAACCGAATTTATGTCTTGTAACGTCCACGCTTCTCTATTAGTAACGTGATCGGTGGCCAGTCTGAGAATGATTGTAATTTGGACACAGTAACGAGTTTGTGATATTTTAAGATACGGATGACTGTAATGTCGCGAGAACATCCGGAGTCAGTCACAGAGGCTGATACCAGTGGGGTGGTTGCCTACATTCCCAGTTGAAGAAAATGCTGTCAGTTAGAGGTTCTTGAATAGAAGGGTGCAATGCTTTCCCATTCAAGGGCACAGACCCCTGAATTCGATCCTGAATCCCAGGTTAAGTACACCTGCCCAAGCCCAAGCCCAAGCCCAAGGTGGCAGCAAAGCAGGTGAGGACAGCTGTGCCTCCCTGCTGGAAACGGACCCCAACCACACCTGCCTATAGGCAGGGCCCGACGCTGGCAGGTGCTGCGAGCCTGGAGGCCGGGAGGTCAGGTGGGGCCCGTGCTGGCCCAGCTGCCGGAGGGACAGGGAAGCAGGGGGGAGGCCGGCCACCTCCAAGTGGCAGAATGTTCGTTCCCCCCTCCCGTAGGGGAGAGGCTCGTGGAGACACTGGGGCTGGGACGAGACAGTTCGTTTCTTACTGCACAAAATACCCACCCACTGATGACCCAGAAGAACCAAAGGCTCTTTCCGAGCCACCTCCTTAAAGACAATTAATGGCTGCTTACAAGGCTCCTTCTCTCCCCCCACCCCAGGATTTATAGCCTTGGGTGCTGAGCAGGGATGGTGGCCACAGGCCACTGGGGTGGATGGTCTGGGCTGGCCCCTCACCAGCCCCTGCGCCGGGGAAGGGACTTTGGACACGGGCAGACCTGGCTGAGGAGCAGTGAGGAGGGACGATCAGACCCCCTTCCTGGCCTTGGGAAATGCAGGCCCCCAGGTGGGCTCATGGGGGTGCCGAAGGCTCCAAGTGGCCCGAGCATCGGGGGCTATAACCCGCGAGAGCTCTGTGGGCCACCTTGGGGCAAGGTCCCCAGGGATTTTTTACCCCACCGCGGCTGGGGCTCCCTTCCCAAAGCCCCATGCCAGACACGGCCTGGCCCCTGGGGGTCCAGGGAGCGTGGAAGTGGGCGTGCTGGCCAGTGACCAGGCACACACCCCTCCCTCCTCCAGCTCCGCAGTGATGGCGGCCCTTCTCGTCACCCCAAGGCTCTCTGGGTGCCTGGCCTGGCGTTCGGCGCTGCACAGAGCCCGACCTCACTTCCTCGTGAACCCTCCCGCCACTGAGTCAGATGCACACACAGGAGCGCGCACACCCACCCCAGCTCCTTCTGGCCACTGTGACCAGTGGGGTGGGGTGGGGAGCTTTATCCTCCAGGCCTGTTTCCTCACCAGCAGGGAGAGGACGCGAAGGCCCACCTCCTGGGGTCACCGTGCAGACTACGGGGGCAACCAGGCAAAGCGCTGGTCGGCGGCAGCACAGGTGGGCCTCCCCGATGCTGGTGCGCACAGGGCCAGGCTCTTGAAGAGGCCTGAGGCTCTCTGAGCGCCCCACTTGACCAGCTCCAGAGAAGGGGAAGCAGGCCAGTGTGGACAGGCTCCTTTTAACTCCAGGTCAGGTGGGCCAGTGCTGAGGTTGCTCCTTGTCCTCCAATACCCGCCTCCCCTTTATTCAGTGATCGGCTGGAGCTGTGGCTGCCATGCCCAGCCTCGCATGGGAGTGTGCACAAGTGATGTGTGCAAGCTGGGGGGCATGCCCTTAAAGAGGTTTGCTGGTCGTGTCCTTTCCTCTTCCCAACGGCTGGGATGCAGACGAGATGGCAGGAATGGGGTGGCCACATTGGGCCAGGAGACAGAAGCCTTGCATGGAAGCTGCCAGAGTAACAAGATAGGAGGCTGGGGCCCAATCCTACTCCAGCCTTGGCTCGCTTACACCCACACTCAGGCTGCATAAGGAGAAACACGCCTCTACTTACCATCTGTGCTGCTTCTGTGGCCTAGTAGGAGGCCACCCCCACTTCTGGTGGCCAGTGTCCAGGCCTGCGAGGAGGGGTGCTTGCCTGTCACTCCCACCACTAGGGCAGGAACAAACAGTGTGAGGGGCTGTGCCTGGGGGTTTGTGGAGGGAGCTGGGGGGGGCGTCTCTGCTTGGAGGTTCTGAGCGCATCACACTTTCGAGATCGACTCACTCGTTCAGATGATGCTCCTTCGAGGTGATGAGAAATGAGCTGTATCACCCCAATGTCAGCATCTGAACCACTTCTTCACACAGTTCGGGGCCAGTTTGGGTTCGGGGGGCCTGCGCACCGATGAGCTTCAGAGCGCACGGGCGGTGGGGGCCATGCTGGGCCGCCTGCTCTGAGGGGCGCCCTGAGCCCATGCTCCCAAATTGGGAGTTGCTTTGGCTGTGGAGGGCGTGAAGGGACAGCAGGGCACATGAGCGTCAGGGGCCACACGGTGCTAATGCTGGTCCCTGGGGGTGACTGCGCCACCTGACCCACCTCCCTCTGTTCACACAAATGAGTGTCAGCCGGGGCTCCCGTACAGATGAGCACATTGAACTTCGAGCTCCCCCAGCAGGGGCTTTTCAGGAAAGCAATCTGGATTCTATGAGGGTCAAGGGTCAATTTCAAGGCTTCACTGCTGGGACAGTCTGAGGAAAGGAAGCCATCTCATCTGGGTGCCGGGGGGTCCTTGGGGAGGAGGTGTCCCCGCCCCCCAACTCAGCGGAGGGGCAGAGGTCAGAGGGCAGACTCCGGCCCTGGCTGGTGGCGCAAACTCCAAGCCTGCCCAACACGGGTCCCCAGCCCCCAACGGAAGCACGGTTTTTCTCAGCTCTTTATTACGTTAGAAACAGAAGGAACAACTCTTGGGGGAAGCAGCACTGCGAGGCCTGTGGTGCTGCGTGACAAGTGTGCGTGTCCCACCTCGGCCGTCCAGAAGCCCGCGCCTCAGGGCGAGCGGCTTCCTCCGTCACCCGCCACGCGATCCCCCAGGGCCAGAGCCCTACGGGGCCAGTGGCAGCACGAGGTCCTGCGAGGGGGCGGGGCGCAAGGACGACCGCGGGGGGTCTGTGACGCGGCCCCACAACAGGGCAGCCCGCCAGGCGCCCCAGCCCCAGCCCAGCCGAGCAGCGTCCAGCAAATGGCAGGTAGCTGGCAGGCGGCCAGGGAAGCCAACGGTTCGGCCCCGGCCGCATCCCCCCACAGCGGTGCCCGGGGGAGGCAACGGCTGCACTGCAAACCCGACTCCTAGGTGTGGGCCGACCCCTCCAGAACCCCAGACCCTGGGGATACACTGACGAGGGACCCACTGACTTGGCGGGTGGAGAAAATGAGCCAAGAACTGGCAGTTCTCCTGGGGACTATGCTTGCTTCTGGGGCCCAGGGAGCACGGGGGCCAGCTGGAAGGCCCAGACGCCAGAGGACAGCTGGTGCTGGTTGGGGGCCCGGGTCACAGGCCTTGCTGCTGTCCTCCATGCTGAGGCGGCCAGGCCTGCTGGGGTCTCGAGTGGGTGCCCCGGAGTAACCCTGCGGTCGTCAGCTCTTATCTGCCCCTAGGCTTGGGGGCCAGGGCCACATCCCGAGGGCCAGTATGGTCCTGTCAGGAGATGGGGTCACTGCCACCTCTTGGGGTGTGGGCCCTGAGGAGATGGGCAGCCCCCAAGTCCTGCTGTGATGGGGCACGAGTGTCCGTGTGCGCCCGGGCACAGCGGGCCTGACTCTGGGGAGGGGCCCACAAGAGTTTCCTCTTTAACCCTGGGGGGTCTTGGTGTCATTTGCTAAGGAAGTCTTGTGGGTGCCACTGAGGTCACCCGATGGGTTTCTGCCCGTGATACAATGTGTCCTTGATTTCTTCCCGGGCAACTTGTGCTCTCAGGCCCGGTGGACCCCGTTTCCCCGAGGCCCGGGACACCCTCTGTTGGGTGACATCACAATGACAACAGGGAGGCGGCGAGGCCAAGGCTGTGCTGAAGGCGCCGCGTGACCCAAAGGCCTCCCAGTACTGCCCACCCCGACCCACGGGGGGCTCCTCCCTGCCCGGTCTCCCCGCCCCTCGAACAGGACTTGCTACAACAGGCCACCTCAAGGCTCTGCACACGAGTCTTCTCCCCGAGGCCGAGGGACTCCTGAGGTTGGTCCGTGCGCCTCCAGAAGGTCTTCTCCCCTACAAACCACCGCAAAGCGGAAACGGCCTCGGGCGGACACACGGGGCACTCCAGACAGCTTCTCTCCTCTTGTCTGAAGCTCAGGACAGCCCCCGAGACCGCTGCTCCCACCACGAGTGCTGCCCTGGGGCCGGGCTGAGCTTCCTGTGGCGGCAGGCGGGGTCAGGGCCACTCTGGGACAGTGAGGGCTGCAGCCGCAGGGGTGGGGAGAGACACACGGTCTGCAGGGGAAGAGAGAGGGAGGGGGAGAGAGCATGAGTCACATCCACATGGCTCTGTCCTAACCTGGAACAAAGCGAGAATCAGGAGGCCACACTAAGGGGCTGGAAGTCAGGCACCGAGAGCAGAAGGCCAGGGCGTGAGAAGGTGGCTCTTCCATTTACCAGCCGCGCAGCCGTTTCCCTGGGCCCTGCTTCCCTCACCCGGAACGCAGCAAACCCCGTCCCTTCAGCCACTCCAGCTACATGGCCTGAGCCCCCACAACCCAGCAGGCGCTGCACTCGGTGCCGGGGAGACAGGAGGGCAAACAGACACAGCGACTGTCCCCCGGGTCGTCCCCCGGTGGGAGACCCCGTATGCTTGTACCAGTAACTGCATATAGCAATCACATGCCGTCAGAGGTGCTATGCATGAAAAATAAAAAAGTAAAAGAACCAGGACTTTTTATTTTGGTGGAGGATGTGGGAAGATGGTAATATTTAACCTGAGACCTGAAGGAGGGACAGGAGTTTGCTAGAGGGGCCAACAGCAGTGCAGGCAGGAGGAACAGCACATGCAAAGGCCCGGAGGTAGGAAGCTGGCACGTCTGAAAATCGAAAAGGAGGCCGGTGAGGTGGAAACAGGACAGGCGTAGACACAGTGAGCAGGGAGGCAGGGGGGGACGCCAGCCAGCAATTCGTCCGTGTCCTCCACAGATATTTACTGGACCCTGAGACAGGCTCTGGGAGCTGATGGTGGTGAAGGAAGGAGCACAAGCCCGCGGTCACCGAGCTCACACTCCAGCCTGGCTTCTCCATCAGTGCAGTGTCCGCCTTCTCCGAGCTTCCTGCTGTCCAGGGAGTGGAAGGATGGATCTCAGCCTCCCGGGGGGAAGATGGAGTGGTCCACCGCATGGGGGAGGTTTCGCGCAGAATGTCCCTGAAGCACCTGACCTAACCCAACTGGGCCAGCATGGTCGATTTTAAAACCTGACCCACTGCAACAGCTCAGCATAGCACTCCCTGAGTCCACGTGGAGATGTGGCTGTGGACGTGTGTCAGGGTCAGGGGGCGACACCCGTGGCTGGAACCATGGGGACAAAGGACCCAAGGCGGAGGGGTGCGCAGGAAGGGCCTGGCTGGGGGGGGGGGGGGGGGGAGGACACGCTCGGGACAGCGTGGCAGGGACTGAGCACTCGGCCTCCACGGGAAGCTAAACCCCGGGGACGGGGGCAGCACTATAAGAACTCTCGGGAGTTCTCCCAGAGGATTTCCAGGCACGTGGCTCGTTGGCACACCCCTTCGGCATCGGGCGGCACACTCTGGCCAGCCCTGGAAGCGCCGTGGGCTCTGGGGTGACCTTAACCAAGGAGACACGTGTGTGCCAGGGGGCACGGAGGATGTCCTTCCAGCACGCTGAGCTGCCCAAAGGAGTCTCTGGTGGCTGCACAGGGGCAGGGAAGCGGGCCCTTGGCACGGGTGGGCGGAGCACTCCAGGAAACCTGCGGGTCCGCCAAGACGCCAAGAGGCCAGACCGTCTCCGCAGGACAATTAACGACGATGCTGTTCTTGGGGTTACAGCTTTGGTTGGACTCCCCCTGCGTACTCGTGTCTGCTGTACCTCCGCACGCAGCAGCGCAGAGCCACTTGTAGGTTTGCATGTATTCAAGTAACATTTAAAAATTCAAGCCAGCACTGGAATCTGCGGGACTTTCTTCCTTCAAGTGGGGTATGCGCCTCGCTCCCTCACTGCCAAAGCTTCTGGAAGGTTGGCTTGAACACAGGGGGAAGTCCCCAGGGGGTCAGCAGCCCCCAGATGCAAGGCAGGGCAGCCACTTTGTCCTCAGGGGGGTCGGTGAAGGCCCCTCACAAGGGAGAAGCTGGGTCACAAGGCCCCGAACATCCCAAGATGCTCCAAGGTGGCCAACCCACACCTCCAGGGCCCGTCTCTGCTCACACCCTCCCATCACACTAGGCAGACAAGGGGTTCCCCCCCGAGACAAGGCCCCGCCGCTGCCCCAAACCAAACCTCAAAGCCACCCATGGCAGTGGTGAGGGGCTGTGAGACCCTGACCTGTCCCGAGTCGCTGAAGAGGAGACAGCACCCTAAAGGCACTCTTATGGCGGAGAAACTGGGAAGCCCACTGCCTGGCTCCTGAACTCCCTCCCAGCTCACACAGCTGCCCTCAGGCTCAGCCCACGGCTATCCCGGTCTGGGCCACCACAATTTGGGGCAGGTGCTTGTCGGAGGCCTAGGCTCCCCATTTGTGAGATGAGACACCCCTCCACCTTGCAGAGTGGTGTGGGGCCTGCGGTCACCCCACGCTGCCTGCGTGCAGCTGGCCCTGGCAAGCCCCTTACTGCTCTCACAGTCCTGTGGCTTGTGGGTGAGGGGTCTGCCCCGCAGGACTGCCACAAGGGAAGGCGGCCGGCACCCGATCCCCGGCCTGGCCTGCGGCCAACCCTGGTGAACATGGCAAGACCGGGGGTGCACGACGGATGGACGGAGCTGGGGTGTTCCAAGAGGCCTGAACTCCCGCCCGGGCACCTTTCCCGCGACACCAGGCCCATCGTGTGGATCTGTGCTCTGGGATTTCCTCTCAGTGGCAATGTCTTTTAAGGCAGGATAGGATGTGCTCAGTCACCCGTCCTGCGGCAGTGATGAACCCCTTGCAGGGCCCCGCGGGGGAATAACGGGCTCAGCCTTTCCCAGAGCTCGGACTGGAGGCCCCTCCGCCCCCACACCCCAAGTGGCTGGGTCCCAACAATGACTGTGGAGAGATGAGCTCCTGGTGGCCTGGACGCTTGCCCGGCACGCTGGGTGGGGGTCTGGGGAGGAGAGGCGAGGGCACTGGGCCTTTACAGAGCTTGATGGGGGGCAGGGGGGCTCAGCGGGAGAGAAAAAGAGAAAAGAACATTCATGGCTAGTCTACACTTCGCGGGTAACCCAGGGTAACCCAGACCCAGCTCCAGTGGCCTCCCAGCTGCCGCCGGCTGCCATCACCCAGCTACGTGGGTCTGGCTGCAACACTGGAGCTCAGGGGCTGGTCCTGGAGCTCCTGCTGGCCTTAAGCTTCCGACACAGCCATCAGCCCTACCGCCCGTGCCCGTCCCAAGCTCGGTGCCAGGGTGCAGACCGGAGGAGACCCGGGGCCTGGCTCCCCAGACACCCACAGGCGTGGGGCACGGCTGGGGCTCCAACCCCGCTCCAACCCTTCCTAGCTGTTCATCTGATGCCAACGACGTAGCCTCTGTCTCAGCTGCCCCCTTTGCAACAGCAGAACCTAGGACAACTCACTCTGAGGAGTCAACGAGATCATGACTAGTGCTACTTGCTGGAGACACAGGCAGCCACCAAGAGCTCAAGGCTGGGGGCTGAGACAGGATGTCACCTGGGGTGATGCTGAGGGGCTGCAGAGGGCAGGCGACCTCTGGTTGCTGGCTCCTGGAGTCGGAGTCTCGTAGGCTGGACAGAGGGGCACTCCAGACACGGGGGCAGGAAGGTCCCCAAGCCAGCAGGGACAGGGAGGTAAACGTGGGCATCCGGAAGCCATGCTCTGGCCCCGGCACCGGGCTGGGGGATTCCCAGCTGGCAGCCAGGCTCAGTGGAAAGCACCACGGTCCACTACGGGCGCCCACGGCAGGTGGGAGGGGAGGCAGCCGGCATGGACACCTCTGCTTTTCCCGTCCTCCCTCCTTGCAGACGTGCTCGGCCTGGGCTCCTTGTGCGCCTTGTTTGGGTGCCACGGCTCAGCTCCCCCCACTCCCTGACACTGCTGCTGTCCCAGCCCCCCTCCCACCCCCTCTATCTGCTGCCCCCAACTCAGGGCCATCCCTCCAGCCCGGGGCCTGCAGCATTGCGGGGGGGGGGGGGGGGGGCAGCCAGCGGCCACACCGAAGGGCCACCTGCCTGCCGCTGCAGCCCCATTTCCTGGGGGGCCAAGGGAGGGCCAGGCACACCCGGAGGCATCAGCTTCCTGCCCGGTGCCGGGTCACGGGCCCCTCCCCAGAGAGCCCCATTTACGACCCGGCCTTTGAAGAGATCTGGAGAACTCCAAGCCGTCCCGGGCCGGCAAAGCTGGAGGGAAGCAGGGCTGTGCAGAGCGTGGGAACAACCCCGGTCAACCTGTGGGACGGAGCCACGGGAGCGCCGGTTTCCCAGGCAGAAGGGGGACTGCAGGGAGGCGGCTGCTTGGCTGTGGGGGCTGCTTGGCTGTGGGGGCTGCTTGGCTGTGGGGGCTGCTTGGCTGTGGGGGCCTGCGAGAAGGAAATGGCTGGGATACAGGGCAACAGCTGAAGGACCCTCTGCCTCTGCTGCAGGTGGTGCTGGTGCAGGAGCTGGGGAAACCTGCACTGGGGACGCTCACACACTCACGTGCAGGCGTGGCTCTGGGACGTTGGGGCCCAGGCATGGCCTTCCCCGGGGATGTGGGAACGGCTCCATCTTGTGTGTCCCTTTGCACCTGCTTCCTCCTCCCTGAGATGGGGCTGACAACAGCACCCCCACCATGGACTGGGCCCGGCTGGAGGGCCAAGGCCCCGGCAGCACTCAGACGGGCACACCCCCTTGCCTCCTGTGGGTGATGGACCCTTCCAGAAGGAGGGGCTGGCCAGGGACGTGGAGTGGCCCCCACCGCCCAAAGCCATTACTGCCACCATCCTTCTGCATCACCACCTCATAAAAACCCACTCTGAACCTGCTCCTCACTTGACCTATACGAGCACTAGGGGTCATACAATTTTCACTCCTGTATTCGAGATGGCAACGCCGAGCTCAGGGGAGTGACATAAGAGGGTCAAGCAGCCAGGGAGAGCCAGAATCAAAGAGTGATGCATGCTTCACCTCCCCGCCCCTGGAGTGGGGGGGATTCCTGGAAAAGTACAGGGCTCATGAGGTCCGCCAGCCTGCCCCCACCCCTCCCACGTGGGGTTGAACTGCTGTCCAGGGTCATGGGGAGGGGCGAGCACCAGCGAAGGAGCCCTCAGGCCCCACAGATGACCACCACTGAGTGCAAGAAGAGGCCACGAGCAGGTGCCACTATTCTCTTAAAGCTTACGCCCCAGGGGACCAACAACTTGGGCTACACAGATTTTTCTCCCAAAGAGGGAGAGAGCAAATTAAAACAAAACAGGGTAACCTCAGAAGGGGACAAAGCCCCCTCCTATCTAGATTGGCCTTTAGGAGCCTGAACATCCTGGATGGCCTCACGGGCGGCCCAGCCGATCAGATCATCGCGCCAGAGCTCGTGCTTGCCTGGAGGGGCAGTCCCAGCAGCCACGTCAGCGAGGAAATCAGGTTTTCGGCCCAGGCTGGCTCCTGAGGGGGCTTCTGTGACCTGAAGGGCCTGGCCTGAGGGCCGGTTTCTCAGAGCTGGGGCTGGTCACCAGCCCTCCCGGGTGGGAAGGCTAGCTCCATGGCCTCTTCTTGTGCTGCAGACAGACCCTGGGATCTCTCACCCCATGCCCCAGCTTCTTAGAGTCCCTGGGACCCATGCCTCCCTCCCACCCACCCTGGCATCCCCAGAACTCAGTCCTAATGGCTGAGGACCTGCTGCCCCTGCCCCAGGTGTGAGGGGCCCAGGAGGAGGGCTAAGGGTGGGGACACACAGCCTGGCTTCCCCAGGACCTGACCAAGGAGGGTGTGACCAGAACACAAACCCTTCCCTGGTGTCTACAGATCTACCATCCCTTTTTCCAGCCCCTACTCCTGAGCTCCCTGCTGGGCCGGCTCGGAACACCCTGATCCAACCGCAGTTCTGGTGCTGTTCCTGCCCCAGAGCGGCTGCAGGAGAGACCCCACCCCACCCTCCTAAGAGGCACGTCTAGATAAGCCGGTTTTTCCCTCCAGCTGACTCTGCACCTGCCCTCAGGCCTTGGGCAAGTCCCTCCTGTGTCTCCCCATCCCTCCATCACCCCAAAGAGCACCTGATGGTGTCCCTTAACTCCCTGCATCCACTGTCACCTTTCCCTTCTGGGTAAGGACCTCACGTCATAACGGCCCCAAGAACAAAGAGCAGGAGCAGTAACTTGGGCAGTCCTCTGCCACAGTCCCTGCCCGGCCCGGGGGCCCTCCGTTCACCAGGATGCCCGCTCTGAGGAAGGCCTGCTCACCACCTGGCGGGACGGAAGCAGCACCCCGCTGCCTCCACAGGGTGCCTGCCCCACGGCTCCAGCACCCCCTTGCCCCTTGAGCTCTCCCGTCCACCGTCCCGTTTCTCATGGGACCCTGGAAGCACACTGGACTCACCTGGTCCGGGGTGTGGTGTGGGCTTTAGCACTTGTCATAGAGAAGTCTGGCCTTTGCCCTCGGCTTCCGGGAGATGATCGGTCCTATCCAATAGACTGTCCTTATTTAGGGCGGGGGTGGGCACATCCGTATGACTTAGGGTAGGGGCTTTGGGTCACGCTGTACCAGCTGACCTGGACTTGGAGAGGAACCCCATGGGTAACCCACCGAGCCTACGTGATGGGGCCCCGAGAAAAACTCTGGCCCCCAGAGCTTGTGTGAGCATCCCCTGTGGGCAACAATCTGTGCATCCGGTCACTCACTGACGGAGGCACAGTAACAGTGTCTAGACTGCATGGGCAGAGGGCTCTGCCCCAGTCATCTGTACTTGGCTGATCTTAACCTGTATCCCCCCTTCCTATAATAGACCATGACCGTGACCATAGCAGCCTGCGGTGGATTCTGTGAGTCCCTCCAGTGAATGCTCGCATCTGAGAGTAATTTGGGGAAGCCCAAACTTGCCGCTGCGTCAGACAGGAGAATGCTCTTGTGCGCAGACTGCTCCTAGACTTGGCTGGCAGGCCTAACCTCCACGTAGTGTTGTCAGAACACCCCCAGTGATTCTGCTTGGCAGCTGTGTCTGGGACACACTGCACCAATCAGGTGGTTGTTCCCATTTGGCAGAGGGTTACACACGCTGCTCAAGGTCAACTGCAAGTAAGGGGCAGAGCTCGGCTTTAGCTTCAGATCTGGAAAAGGCTCCCAGAGCACCCAGCCACCTGCTGCCCCATCCAACCCTCCCTGGAGGACACGGTGACCCTGACCCTGAGTGGGAACAGGCCCCGGGCTGCTGGGGACTCACCTGGCTGGGCTCTGCTGGTGCTCCTCACGAGGGCAGGTGCTTCCAGGTGCTGACAAAGGCAGTGGGGATGAGCGAGTAGGGCACGGTGGTGATGCAGTTCCACGTGTCCGAAGTGGGGTCATAGCAGTCCAGGGTCTTACACCGCTGGGTCCCGAAGTAGCCCCCCACCACATAGAGCTTGTTGCCCGAGGCCAGGGCGTGGCAGGACATGCGTTTGGCGGTCATGTCCCCGATCCGCGTCCACTGGTTGGTCTCACAGTCGAAGCGGTAGGCTGAGGCAGCCGTGAACTCCGTGTCACCTCCCATGATGAAGATCTGGCTGCCCAGCACGGCAGCTGCCGTGTACCGCCAAGGCTGGGGGCACTCAGCCTTGATGGTCCACCGGTTCTCCGAGGGGTCGTAGCACTGGACCTTGGACACCATGTCTCGGTGGATGCTGGTCCCTCCGAAAACAAAGAGCTTCAGCTTGGCGCTCACCACTGCGGCATTGCTGACGCCGTCCCTCAACGGGGCCACCATTGTCCACTTGTTAGCCCCGGGGTCGTACTTCTCCACCTGCTTCAGGGAGACAGAAGGGGAGGCAGGGAAGACGCCCGCCAGGGACGTGTGTCCCCCGACCACATAGAGACAGTTCTCCAGCTCCGCTGAGCCGTGACCGAAGCGAGCAATCAGCATGGGCGCCGCCTTGGACCACTCCTCGTGGACGGTGTCATACACCCACACGTCCTTAGAGACCCCGTTCTCAGAGCCCCGGCCCCCGGTCACGTAGACCTTGCAGCCGATGGCTGAGGCGCTGAACTCCTTCCGGGGGCTGGGCAGGTCCGCCTTGGGGATGATCTCCTTGGCCTTGTGGTCCACCTGGTAGATCTTGTCACACATGAAGGTCTGGCCCCCCAGGATCAGCAGCGTGTGGCCCGCCTTGCGCGGCCGGGCGCAGGGGCTGGTGACCACCCCATCGTTCTGCAGGATCTTGGTCTTGCAACGGAGCGCCTCGTCTATGATAAGCCTGGTGCGCTCGTCAGCCATGAGGAGGGCCTCGCCGGAGACAGCCTCCTTCAGGCAGTCCGCCGGCAGCAGGGCCAGCCGCACGCTCCGGAGGAGCTCGGGCAGGTGGGCCTTCCTCTGCTCCAGGTCATGCTTCACCCACTGGAGGATGGCCTCGAAGACCACGCGCTCGTCCTCCGTCTCCAGCTCGTCGCTGGATATGAGGTCCAGCAGGGTGTCCTTGGACAGGCTGTTGAAGTCCTCGCTCTGCCGCACGGTCTCGAAGTGGACGAGGCACATGCGCCAGGAGAACTCGTACAGCCGGCGGCACTGGTGCGCGTCCGACAGCAGCATCATGCCCAAGCAGTTGGACGGGAAGAGATTCTTCTCCAGGAACTCGGCGGCGGCGTCGCGCACGTCGTGGAACTGCAGCATGTCGCCGGCCTCCAGCAGCGACTCGGCGTTCTCCTCGTTGATGACGATGCGGGACGAGTAGGCGAAGTCCAGCAGCAGCTCCAGCACCTCGGGATGCAGGTTGTCCTGGAAGTTGACCGTGTCGTCCCGGCTCTCCCGCAGGCCGTGGCTGAACATGGCCTCGAAGTAGCGGCTGGACGCGGCCAGCACAGCGCGGTGGCAGGGGAAGGCACGGTCGCCGGCCCACAGCGTGACGTCCGTGAACATGCGGTGCTTGCGCAGCGTGTTGAGGTGCGCCAGCACACAGTCGGGGTGGGAGGCTTTGTGGAAGAGGCTGATGTTCATGGACCCCGTGCTGCTCCGCGACTTCCGGGTCTCATGGACGCTGACCGACATGCTGAGCCGACCTGTGGGGGGCAGGGCAAGGCCACAGGTGAGAGGGGCCAGGCCCTGGCTCCCGGCACGGGGGGCCCTGCGGCAGCTCCCCCTTCAGCCCCGCCCCTCCCCTCGGCCACGTGGTCAGGGACGGTGTCGGGGGTAGTGGCTGGTTTTTTACCTCTGCCCTTCAGAAAGTGATTTTTTTTTAAATTTCAGACCAGCTTTGGAACCAAACATCTTTGCCCTGGAAATAGCCCCCTCGGGGTGAGTTTGAGCTGCAGCTGCCTCCCATGGTCAAGGGAACACCTATATGGTGGCCTCCGGCCACTAAGTGGACTTCAGGTCAGAGCAGGGCTAAGTAGCATGTGCCCTGGGCCACATCCCATTCTCAAAGATGTCCTCTGGGGATACGGCTCAGGTGGCCTGATTCTACAGCTGGGGAAGCTCAGAGAAGCAAAGTGGCTGCCCCAAAGTGCCGGAGCCAGGATTCCCACATGGGCTCTCCAGTTCCAAGCCCAATTTCTATTCTCCATGGGCCCAACGAGACTGATTCTTTCAGGGTTTTCTGTGGCAGGCTGGATACACAATGAGCCCAAGGAGCCACAGACTCCAAGCAGAGCCTTACACCCTCCCTGCGCTCCCAGTGGGACCTGTCCTGAGCTGGGCTCCAAGCAGCACTGGTCAAAGTCCCTTATCTCCCTTGCCCTTGGAAAATTCCCAAGAGCTGCCGCTACAGCCCAAGGGCTCAGTATAGACATGTTCTCCAAATCCAGGGTCTTCTGAGGCTTCCTGATCCAGTGGGGATGAGCAAGGGTTTGGAGGCAAAGCTGGCTGATCAGTGAGTGGCTCACCTACAAGACACCTGCTTGATTCTGAGTTCCCAAACAAGAGAGCCACAAGAAGAGCCGGGTAGACTACTAAAGCAGTCCAGATTTGCCTCGGCCAAAGCAACTGGAAAACCCACAACCAAAGGAGTCTCCTTGGTCCCTACAGGCGACTCCAGGATCTTGGGCCACAGAGAGAACCTTACCTGCCTCCCCGCTATGCCCTTCAATGCCAGGCCAGGACTCGGGGCTCAGAGGGCTGCTCTGCATTAGCATCCTGACCCCCCAAAGCCTGTGCTAAGTTCATCCTGCTGGGATTGAGCCCCCCCTCAAAGGGCTGCTCTGCATTAGCATCCTGACCCCCCAAAGCCTGTGCTAAGTTCATCCTGCTGGGATTGAGCCCCCCCTCAAAAAACCCCAAACCTCTTCTTCCTTTTTAATTTTCAAAAGTATATAACTCCCCCAACCCCCACTCCAAGTCAATTTTCTGCTTAAGTAATAATCTGGTAAAGGAAGGAAGCGATTTCATGCTTCAGTGACATTGTAAATTAGCATCCAAGTGCTCTGCTGTCTCTCTCACTCACTCCTCCCCTGGCAAAGAACCAGAGAAACCACAAAGTGACGTGATCTGAGCTGCCTGGGCAAGGCCCCTGCTCCTGGGCCCGCGCAGGAAAGACACAGGCGCTGAGGCTGGCCCTGCTGCTCCTGGCCCCCAAGCTCCAGGTGGGTGACCCACTAGGGACGCGGCTATGCACACGTGCCACTGTAGGCCACCAGGCTCACGGATATGAGGTTAGCCCACGGGGGTGGGAGGTGCAGCCGGCACGAGGGTAAGAGAGTTGGGCCCAGGTCCAGGCTGGACTGGGTGGTCCCCGTTCAACTACCACCCTGGGGACCTCTCCCCCGAACCCCCATTTTCTCTTCTGTGAAACAAAATCCCTGTCCTGCTGGGACCTCAGAGTTACTCAGTTGTTGTCAGTTACTTACAAAACATGACCTCTGAGCCTGGCCCTGGGACCGGGAGGCCCAGAGGTCGAGAAGCTCCAATGGCCTAGCCCAACAGAGGCTTTCCTGGCAGCTCCGTACTCGGCCCAGATCCGAATTCCAGACACTGCAACACGTTTCCCCAAATCTTGCTCACAGACACTTTTCCAAATGTGGCCATTCATCGAGTGACTCCATCCATCCCGTCCCCACTGTGCCTGGGCTGAAGAGGAGCTATGGCCTTTGACCTGTGCACCAAGCTGGGGGCGATGGCTCCAAGGACTCCGAATCAGGGAACCGGGTGGAGACTCCCTATGGAGGGGGCTAAGGGCAGGACAAAGCAGGACTCAAAGAATAAGAAAGCGTCAAAAAGCAGGGCAAACCCAAGCGGAGCAGGCAAGTCTGCCCTGAGAATGAGGTCAAGTGGTGACCTCTCCAAGGCCAATGCTGAGTGAGCAGCCCAGGGCTCCAGAGATCCAGGGCTCCAGAGCTGGCTGACGTCTTGCTCAGCACGAAGATGCCTGCCCACTGACGCAAATCCCCTGCACAGGCAAAGAGCCAGGCATGGGCGCACACACCCAAGCAGGTTCCCAGCCCCAAGAGCCGCCTGTCTGGGCATCTCCGTGCCAAGGGCAGAGGCACCTGCCTGGCTGTTTCCCCAGATTGTCCCCCCTCCTTTTGGGCAGTGCCTGTTCTGAGCCAGTCTGCCGGTGACAGCAACCACCAGGCATGCACTGACTTGCCCTGGACTCTGGGGCGAGGTGATCCCGTCCCAGAAGCATCATGACTCCAGGAGGTGGAGGGTCTCGTTACCCCAGTTTATAGATGAGGATGCTGAGGCGCAGACACAGGAAGGGAATCACAAGAGCTGCAAGTCTCCGGTGGGCCCACAGGTCCCCAGGGCTGTGCTTCAGCTCCGGGCTGGCCGGCACGGGAGGACAGGCCTCAGAGCTGGGGGCGGGGGGGGGGGGGCGGGGCGGGGGGGAGGGGCGGGTGCTATATGCCCTGTGGCAGGTTCCTCGCCTCAACCACAAAACATCTGGAAGCCGGTCGCCTCCACCATAACATGTCCAGGACAGCGCTCAGCATTTCCTCCAAACCTGCTGCCCCCAGCCCAAGAAAACGGGCAATGGCACCAACATGCTCCTTCTTATCTGGGCCCAATCTCTAGGCTCCCCCCATCTTTCCCAGCAGCAACACCCAGCCCTCACAAGTCCTGTGGCTCTGCCTGCTGAGTCCTGAGTCTGACCCTTCTCCCCGCCTCCACCCCTCCCCTGGACTACTGGAATGCACCCCCCACCCAGTTCTGCTTCTCCCTTGGTGATCTAGGCTCCCTCCCGACACCAGAGGGCTCCAAAAGTATCACCTGGATCCCATGACCCCCAGTCACCACCCACCAGGGGGTGTCCCAGCACCCTCAGTGAAATTCCAAGTTGTCACCGTGACCGCCAGGCCCCACATGAGTTGACCCTTCCTCACTGGCTGCCTTCTGTCCTCACGCCCCGCCACTTCCCACGCTGCTTGCCCCCTCAGGCCACACTGGACTTCTTACTGGGCCGCAGGACCTTTTCACATGCTGCTCCTCGGGCTGGAAGGCTCCCCTGCCTGTCACTTTTTTTTTCTGCATGGCTCACTCTGCCACGTCCTCAGAGGGTGACCTGACCACCTTGTGGAGGTCAGCTCCTCCCCACCCCTCACCCACTTCTGCCCTCATCACAGCACCCGCCGCTACGTAACATGCATTTGTCTCCTGTCTCTGCAACCTGCTGGAGGTGGGGACCACGTGTGGGGCTGAGGTGACCCCAACATGCAGTGGGACCTGGCAGAGAGCAGCCGCTCGATTTGACTGAATGAACCCACTGGTCCCTGCCTTGGCTCATGACGCAGACTGGAGACATGTACAATGCACAAAACTCACTCCACTTGACGTCTCATGGAGCGCTCGTTCAGCTTGTTCAGCCCAGACGCAGAGAAGCTGGAGGCTGGGATGGTGAGGGCTGTGCCTCTCCCCTTCCTTTGTGTCTGACAGGGGTTTCTGTCACCGGCCACCTAGAGTCCCCACCAAGACAAGTGCTAACTAACATCAGTTTCCTGGATCGGTGACCAGGGGCTGTGTTCCTTGCTCGTGGGTCTCCACTGTGTGGGTCCCTCTGTCCTTTCCACCCACAGGGAGGCCACCCCAGACACCGAGCATGGGTTTTAGGAGATGGTTTTCTGTGTTCACTAGCAGTTACATGCGCAGCCCTATGCGGGGCAGGGGATACAGAGAGTGCGGGACACAGGCTCCTGTCCAGTGGCAGGAGGGGCCGACGTTCAAGAGTGTGTGTTCAAGGCCGGTCACCTCGGCTCCCTGCCTTGGGGGCCGTGATAAATCAGATGCTGTCATGCTGTGTGTATCACAGAACTATTTTGATTACCTAAGCGTCATCCTGGGCTTTGATGGATTTAAGGCACATGAAGTAACAGCCATGCTCCAGACTAGCAATTTATCATCCTGCTAAGAGGTATTGATCCACCTCCGCTCCCCACACTGGAATCCTCACCTGCACAGAAGCAGTTAAAATGCACCAAATAACAATGTGCCCAGCTCATTTCTCCCATCATCCTTGGAGAATTAACTAAAGTAGCCAAGGTGGTAAGACCTCCCGAAGAAACTCGCCATGCTCTCCAAAGATCCCAGCCCCAGAAAGCTAAAGGTCTCTGTTCTCAGAGAAAAAATGCACCACAGACGATCAAAGGTACTGTCAGGAGGCGCCTGGGTGGCTCGGTCAGTTAAGTGTCCGGCTTCTGATTTTGGCTCAGGTCATGATCTCAGGGTCGTGGGATGGAGCTCTGTGTAGGACTCTGTGCTCAGCACGGGGTCTGCTAGAGATTCTCTCTCCCTCTGCCTCTCCCCACATGCCCTCTCTCTCTCTCAAATATATAAATAAATCTTCAAAACAAAACAAAACAAAAACAACCTGCTGTTGGTACCCCTGCCCAGAAGGCCTGACTGCGTCTGGCTGCAGCACTAACCCCCTCCCCGCCTCCCTCCACCAGCCAGGAGTCTGCGCTCCTCAGAATGAGGATGTCAACGGTAGTGATCTTCACTGGAGGCCAGAGGGAGTGGGAAAGCCCAGGGCCCTGCTGCTGGGCTGCAGGTAATGTGGCTCAGACTCATTCATTAACCATAAGCTTCCTGAGCAATTCCCATGTGCCACGTACTGGGCGTG